CAGTCTTACATGTAGTACAAATTTATGAAAAAGAAAAAAAATATTTTGGCTACAAAATAGTTGCAGGAATATTTTCTTGCTGACAACCAAATCAGAAATCCAGGCTGACCCTGGACAAGTCATTTATTTAAAGATTTTTTTCCTTTTAAAATATTGTGGATATTTGAACACTGGATAAGATAACAGTGAGGTGGGTTCCTTTAAGAAAGGGGTCTGTATCTCACAGCTTTCAGCAGCACAAGATGCATAAGTTGCCATGGAAATTAAATGTTATTGAACAGCCCAATATTTGTTTTTAAAAGGACTGCGAGTACCGTTCCATATAAAGGCTAGGAAAGTACTGGGCTATTATCAGTGCTGGGAAGACTGGTGTTTCAGAATATTTTTGTGATGTTATAATACAATTTTAAGGCGAATTTAAGGATAACTAAAATGACACCCTAGAGACTAAAGTTTTCTATTTATTCTAATTAAATGGTACTGCATAGACAGTGACAAACAGTCTTCCCTGCCCACGTGCCTTAATCCTGACCTGGGGAACTATAGCATTGGGAAAGAGATGGGCACTGAGATATGCTGCTATTTAAATGTTTACTAGTTACTAAAATAAAAGTGGCTGTTGAAACTTCCACATCTTGTTCATATGAACTTTGCACAGTTTGAGAATTAAAGGCACACTAACCATTATTTTAAACCAACAACAAAGATAAACGATTTTGTTACTCTTGGTAGAGTCCAATGTCTTGGTTTTCAGGTGTCATCATTGTATAGTCCTGAAATAGAGCAGATCTTGTCTGAGCCCAAGAAGAGTGTATGAAGTCCTCTGTAACAGGTTTGAAAGTGGCGAGTGATGCCCAATCAGGGCCTTTCAGTGGCTGTGGGAGTTCTGCAAGGACTCACCCAAGTGTCCTTAGCATCAAGCTTTCAGCTGACAGAGTGAATGGTGCTGTAGCCAGCAGATCAGGAATTACTTGCATACAAGTTGTGTATCATCTAGTGTGGTCACTCAGTAGAAACACTGCTAGACCTTCAAAGGCCCAAACCAGTCTGAAGCCAGTTTCTGCTCCCTGTATAGTATGTTAACTTGGCCCCTGTAATTAACAAACAAACACTTTGGGGAATTCGATTATGCATGCATAAAAATAATACCCTTTTAGCAGTCCTGCCCATGCCAAGGCAACTTAAGAATGGGGCAGTTAAATTCCCTTCCAAGCATGAAGGAGGCAAGAGAATGCATGGTAGTAATATGCATAGCCTTATGGTAGTAGAGAAGGGTCAGTGAAGTGCCAAATAGAAGGGGTGAGTCTGTGGCTCAGATGAGAAGTCAATCCTTCTTTATGGGTGCAGTTAAACCTCTCAACTCCTCGGTCGGCCTGGTGATGGAAGAAGTGGGTGAACGAGGTGAAATGCTGGAAATGACAGGCAGTAAATTGGGACCACTGTCTGTAGCAGTATGTGATGCACGCCATCAAGTTAACAGATCATCTAGGATCCTCATCATGACCTGAGACTTTATGGCCTAAACTGGAATAACTCTAGGACATTTAGGGATTGGAGTGGGGGGATGTCAGTCAGTGAGCAGGTATTTGAGGGTATGTAGACAAATTCCCCAGAACTTGAGTTGGGTATGGTGGCAATTTGGAGGAATTTGGGGCCCCAAATATTTGCCACTGGGGTTGACAGGCTCTGCAGAATTTGACTAAGATGTCTATGTCAGGACAGAGCATAAATGTCCTGGTATCTCTGGTTTAAAAAAGAAACAAAAACAAACACGTGCTTATTCTGGATGAAAACAAAGGCATACGCTCAGAATGCAACAGGTTCCAAGCAAGGCAATCATCTCAGACAATTTGCCCCCGAGTAACCAGTATGGAAAAAGGCAATGAGCACTTAGAGCAGATGACCTGCAGTAGACAGTCTCATCTTATGCCAGAGCCCTGACCAGACTAGAGGCTTGTTTTAATTTCTTCCTGAAGCTGGCAAGCTGATGAAGTCTATGGAGAAGTGCAAACAAATCCATAAAGGAAGAATGCATGCAGCAAAAAGCATGAAATGACAGGTAAAGTAGTCAGAATCAGAGATTTCTTCCAAAGAAAACTGAAGCTGGTAATTAAGTGGTTTTGTCCAAAGGGGAATATATTGGCTCCAGCACTAGACTGCAGAGCTATCAGTGTCTGTGGTTCTGTGTGAATACCACAGAATCTGCCAGAAAAGCAGACAACCCATTTCTCTGCTGCCCACAAGCCCGGAGGTAAAAGCAGTCAGGTTGCAACTGTTCTCAGCAAAGGGAAATCCGAAGGTTTTCTTCGGTCACCAGTTTAGAAATTTGGACAGAGACAATCAATTGAGGAGTCAGGTTTCCTGTGGTAGACAAAGAGTATTTATCCAGGATGTAAGCCTCATTCACTGTGGAGATCAACACAACCCCAATCATTTCCTAATGTGTTGGATAACAAAGCACTTGGGCACTTCACATCAATTACATTCAATAATGGTTCGATAATGATGAATTAGGTAATTGAGCAGAGACTGGCTTATAAAGTGCCACTGAAAACCAACAATTCAATGCATGATCTGTGAAACTCATTGACTTATGCTTGAGTTATGTCGCTAAAAACAGCGATTCCACAGATGTATGAACAAGTCCAGGGTGAAATCCTGGCTACTGTGAAATCAGTGGGAGGCCCAAGGAAAGTCAGCCTGTATGATGATGAGGAGGAGGATGCCCTCCATTTCAAATCAGGACTTGGCAGCAGCAAAGAAGTCAACCAAAAAAATATTAGTCCTGTTGTAGTTTCTTAAAGGCTTGCCACAAACTGTGGAAGTGCTTCAAGTGAGATGCTTCTGAAGACTGAAACAAAACCCTCCACTACAGAATGACCTGAGATTTACAAGTGTAGCTTGGAGCAGAGCTCAGGGTGCACAATTACAGATGTTCAATCCCAAAACGGGTGGAAAGTACGACTCATTTTCTCCCTTCTGCCACTGCCTGAATGCCAGAAGACAATAGAAAATTAGAAACTATGCTCTGCTTTCTGTAAGAGACACAGGGTTGCTGGTACTTCCAAGAAACATGTGAAGGTGAGAAATTACATAGCTGGAACCAAATATGCTGGAGCAACACTTGTGACTACAGTGTCTGTGGAGAACAGTTTGCTGTAATACCAACATTCATCGTACCTGTGAGAAGTGCAGTTTTTTCCATTTGAATATTTATACTGCACCCATCTCCATAGTATCTGCACCTCATTGTTATCCTGTAGCATTAGTAGAGACAGCTGAAACAGCTCATTACAGTATAACATTAGACTGGCTCCAGGTCATTAAAACAAAGCTGGCTGCTAAAGCTTCCATCTCTCGCCATGTTACCATTGCAGTGCTTGGTAAGTAAGGCTAACCTATTAAGCTATGCTATATTTTAAACTAGAAACAAATACAAGAGAGTAAGAGGACAGGCATACACTGTCACCATAGTCATTCAGCCCTTGGCTTCTTTATTAAAGTGAAGTTACAGTCAACTATAGCCTTGGATTTTGTGATATGGGTAGCTGTGCACTAGGAGAACTGAGACCAACTCATTTCACATACCACCAAGAAGCCATTAAATGGAATCAAATTTTGGCTACTACCAACCGAGGTTCTGTATCCCATTATGAACCTTCCGATATATTCATTTTAATAATTGGTGTGCTTCCACTAACAGAGAAAGGAAAAATAGTGACCTAAGTGTCTGTGTATAACATAGGAATCTCTCTCTTGGGATTCACTAAGGAGGAGTATTGTAGGAATTAACCAAACAGCATTTCAGCAGAGGCTACAGCACTCTTTTACAGATGCTACAGTGAAAGTAAAGAACCTTTCATTCCTTTTACTGAAAGGCTTTGCAATTGTGTCAAGACAGGTAAAGCAAAAGGACACTGCCAATTTAGTTGGTTCCAAATTTAATTTTGGTGTCAGCTGGCATTTTACACTAATATGGATAGAAAATGTTTCATGATTTTTCAATCCAAAAATGTATCCTTTTCTTTTATTTAATTTTTATACCCCACACATCAGGGTGGGTAGTTATAATGAACTCTGTAAAAGTGTAGTGGTATACATTTGGTATTAAAGACATTATCAATTATAAAGCTGTATTGCACAACAAATTTATTAAAGACTGATAGTGGAGCTTGGGTTACTAAAAAACAGAGGCTCCAACTTACAAACCTGTGTGTTTAAAGATAGGCTTCTAAGTCGATAGTAGTCACCTAAATAAAAGTGGGCATACACCTCTGGAAATCAAGCCACTTTTATTTCAGGGTCTGAATACTGGCCAGGTTCTGACACCCCTACTCATGTTGATTAGTTCCTTATTCCTTGGGTGACCAGATGTCCCGATTTTATAGGGACAGTCCCGATTTTGGGGGCTTTTTCTTACATATTGCCCCCCAATCCCTGTCCCAATTTTTCACACTTGCTATCTGGTCACCCTAGTTATTCCTGAAATAGCTAATAACTAATCTGGAGTAAGGCCCAGATCCTCAAAGGTATTTGAAGTCAATGGAAAGTTAGGCACCTAAATATCTTTGAGGAGCTGAACATAAGGTACTACCTCATGTAAGTGAGGGTATCAGAATCTGGTTCTATAGATTTTAGCCTTGCTTCAGCAAAGCACTTAAGCCCGTGCTTTACTTCAGTGGGACTTCAGCATGTGGTGAAGTGCTATGTTGAATCAGGGTCCTAACTGTAAGTACCACCCTTCCACACACTGAATAGTACTTTATCCTGCAAGTTGTCCCATTAACTTCAAATCGGACTTCTTGAGGAATAAGCTACTTCTCAGTGAACACAAGGATGACAGAATCAGGCCTACATAATAAAAATAAAGTTCAATTCAGGAAAAGGCTCTAATACACATCCTATGGGCCCAGTTATTCTGCTTTGATTCCTGGCAAGTAGAAAACAAGAAGAGTGAGGTATGACCGCACAACTTGTGGAGCAGTAAGGGTGCTACTCACTGTGAGCAAGGATGGAAGAATCTAGCCTTTTGTGATTATTCACCACTTGCATTCCCAATTCTATGCATGTATATTCAGGCGATTGTATGTACAGTTGAATCTTGTGAAAAAAGAGAGAAAGTATTATATTATATCTGAACATGCTTGTAGTCAGATTACAGAAATTCTTGCCAAGCCTTCAATAGTGCCCAAGTGTTTTAATAAAACAAACTTTGTCAATGATTAGAGAAAAGAAAAGGATTCCCAGCACACCAATAATTACTCAATGGGAGACTAATTACATGGTCAAACCATAATTTGTCTTAGTTACAAAAATGTATTGTTGACTATTTACTGTGCAGCGACACAATTAACCATGATTTTTGATACCATGTTCTGTATAAAGACATCACCCAATAGCTATTATCTTTTCTGAAGGGTCATCAGCAATTTGGAAGCACTGATTTGAAAAAGATTTTGTTGAAAATAAAAGCCATGTTGGAATTATACCAGAGCGCACAGCGACGGAGCCCCAGTAGCCCAAACAGCAGCTCAGGTTCCCTCACAAAGAGAGATCAGACTAAGCCAGAGTGAAAACATCACTATGATCATGTAGCTAATTTCTAAGGCCCTGATTCTTCATTCTTATGGGATAAGATTCTACCAGTGTGAGGCTGGCATCACTGTGCCAAAGTCTTGGTTCTTACAGTTAGACTCCTATGGCCCTGATTCAGCATGCTTAAGTCCCATTGTAGATAAGCACATAGCATTTTTCTGAACTGGGCAAAAATCCATAGAGCCAGAAAGTAATACCCTCTCTTATATGAGGTAGTGAGACTGGCAGTAACCAGAGAGAGATCAAATGACTATTGCCTGGTAGGGGGAGTCACATGGGTTCCAGTGAAGGTGATCAAATAGCAAGTGTGAAAAATTGGGACAGGTATGGGGGGTAATAGGTGGCTATATAAGACAAAGCCCTGAATATCAGGACTGTCCCTATAAAACTGGGACCTCTGGTCACTCTAGTTCCAGTCCCTACTCCATATCAGGCAGAGCAGGGATTTGATCCGAGGTGTCCCACATCCTGGGGAACTGTCTAACTACTGGCCTATTGGGTAAAGTGGCAGTGACATGCATAAATCTCTTTGTAGATCTAGCCCTTGAGTCTAAGTGACTTTGGTGCTGTTGACAATTTTACCCACAGTGCCTAAAATGTTTAACTCTTTGGCTAATCAAAAATGTGTGTGTCCAAATTCAGGCAGAGAGCACAGTGAACAGAATGCAGAATATGCAACTATCTCCCTGCCATTTTCCCCTAAGTCCAACATAGCCAAATAATATATGCACTGAAAATGCATTGTATCAAACAGATATCAGAGACTGAGTCTCTGATCCCACTGTCCACTACTTCCCAGCCCCACCCACAGAGCCCAGCTCCTTAGTCGCAGCTTGTTGCCTGGTTCCCTCACTTCCATTCCAAATAGAAAATTATCTTTCCCCTTTATTTATATGATCATTTCCTTTTCTGGATCAAAATAAATGGTCATTAAAGCAACTATACAAATAAAGGGGGGAAATAATTTTCACTGTGCAATGCAGGTGGAAGGCCCATGTGACTAGGGAGACCAGACTGCCCACTATTAGCAGGGAACTGCTCTACAGCAGGTCTGGAGACCAATGGACCAGGGAGACAGTGAGGAGCTCTGCTGCTCACCTCTGCTCCCCAGCTCTGCTGCAGTAACCACTTCTGTGCCTCCACCTCACATTATCCATGGCCCCTTATTCATTCCCCCATATCTATACCCCTTCCTTCCCCACAACACATAGTCTTCCTCCCTCATAGTCATTAAGCCCAGCAGCTGAGTCCCAGCCCAAAGGGCTACCACAGGCCTGCCAGACCAAGGCTGACCTCTGAGAAATCACAGGAGGTTTCAGCAGAGATGTCTCTGTAGCAGAGACGCAGGTTAAAGGCCTGGTTGTCAGAGACCCACAACTCTCCTGGCCTTCTCTACAAGCCTATCAGCCTCTCTAGAGATTCACCTTGACCAACTCACATATTATCCTAGCTACACAATATTATTTTGTTTTGTTTTTTAAATGTTCATTAAAACTTTTTAGCCACTGTGTTTTAAAAATACACCTGGCTGAACTATCATCTGAATATGCAGGAGTGTTAAGTGTGGAGTTTGTGGGGAGTGTGGTTGTTTAACTAAAGGATCCTTTCTCTCCCTCCCACCCCCACGTCCCACAAAATAAATATGTATATATATATATATATATATATATGAAGAAAACAGGGCAAAAATTTCAAAAAGGGAGCATTTTCAAACGTTGCTGCTACAAAAATTGGTAAGTATCTTACTAAAACTTATTACACAGAACATGCAACACCGGAGAGTTATTGTGTCAATTTTTTAGACTAAATTCAATCACTAAATTATATTAGAGAGAGGATTTAGACCAGTTTTAAGTGCAAATCTCAGTGCAACCTTAACTAAGAAATCACTATGATTACCCCATGATAGATGAGTCTTCTCTCTATTATATAGACATAGACACACACAGAGAAGCGATTTCCCTGTTTAGTAGGAACATTGCTTTAGCACTCTAGCAATAATGAACACAATCTATATTGGCTGCTAGCTACGTTTCAGACACTATAGCTTCAGATAAAAGAGCCACAATGATATGTGTCTGTAACATAAATAATAACATGTGCTCAGCCACTTGGGTGGAGCTGAGGAATCCAGAGTGCAGACAAATGCAGTAAACTGACTAGTCTGCAAAGGGGATATCATAACTTGTGACTTCTCATTGAAAAACTCCTAAAAACTCATGAATGTTGACACACCTTTTGGGTTTGTTTATACTTCAGTTCCTTTTTGTTTTAACACCAATTCAAGTGTCAGAACTGGGTGGAAATTTGGGGTATACAGAAAGCCTTTACAGCTGTCACAAAATTACAATCTTAGTTATCAATTGATGTGCCTAATCTGCTCACCAAATTTTTGGGATGATAAAACAATCGGATGGAGCAATAGCTGTTCAATTTATTATTACAAAGATAAGGCTGTACCTGATAATTTCCTGCTCCTTTTCTCTAGCTAAGTCCTTTACAGGTACAGAGGCAAATTCATTATTACTGCACAAAAGTTAGCACTTTAACTGTACTTTATCAGCAGGCATCTTCAAAGTGCTATACAAACACAGCACAAAGAGATGCCTCTTATTCCTGAAAAATTGAAGATCATCTCAGATTTAGGAACAGTGAGGACCCCAATTTAAACTTAAGGATATGTCTTCATATTGAAAAATGTATGCTGTTTCCTGGAAGTACCGTAGTTGTAATAAAATGTGAGCAGAAATAGTGATTGTGGGGATCATAATTACATCTCCTCCCAATCTAAATAGTTGTGTCCAAGCTTTGTATTATATGCTGTTCTTTATACTGACTGATGGGCAGAAAAAAAATAAGGAGTGGGAGAAGAAACCTGCAAGTTTAAAAGCACCTTAAAAAAAAAGCACATTGGGTCTCCTCACTGCACCACAAAGTCTCTATTTCTCCCTAGAGCAAATCTTAAGGTTGTGAAACAGAGCGTGACTATCCACTCATGACATTCCTGTCCTCAGTCATATGTCTGCACTTCATGTTCAACTCTCCCAAGGAGAAGCCCAGGAGAGTAAACGTGCAGGGGCTGGAGATGATCACTAGCCAGCCTAGGACAGATTCGTGTGCGATGGAGAGTCAGGTACCAGCACAGCCCCCGTTTCCATTGGCTTTGGCATACCCGGCCCCTCGGCTTTAAAGCACCTCCGAGAGTCCCCAGTCCGGGCGTGTCTCTCTTTCAAGCTCTACACTTACCCGCTATGAAAGTCAGCAGCGTCCTTGGGTTGCGGTTTGTGTCCTCCCAGCCCTCGCTCCCAAACTGAGCCCAACCCGAGCAGCCCCGGCTCCTTTCCCTCCCGCGCGCCCAAAGCAGCCCCACCCCAAGCCAGGCTTTCTCACTCCCGTCCTCCTCCCTTTCCCCGCGGCGGGGGCGAAAGGCGAAAGACTCCGCTGGGCTGAATCCCGGACTGTCCCCATTTTCCAGCGGGCTGTTACCTTCGTTACCGTTTCCGATCAATTCCCGGCTCCAAAACGCTTCCCCCGCCTCCCCGATCACAAGCAACTCTGGGCAAGGGGGGGGGCACACAAAACCTCTTCTCTCCTCCTCTTCCAGCCGCTGACACTATATATCCGGCTTCGAGACAGGAGGTGGGGGAAGAGTTGTCCTGCCCGTCTCTGCCTCTTGCAGCGAGTGCTGGGCGCAACCTTTGCGCGCGCACACGCCCAGACGCGAAGGGCAGAGGAGGACAGGCAGGCGAAGAGGCTGCAGACTAGCCCGTCCCGCCCTGGCGGGGTTATACTCCCGTTTCTGGTCCCGGGGCTAGGATCAGGGTGCGCTGAACTGCAATTGACAAGCTGCAGCAGCAGCTGCTGCTGCTGCTTCTTCCCGTTGATCCTAAGAAGATAAAAGCGGCGGAGGGGCAGCCGGTCCACTCCACTCCTCGCTATGAATGAACTCTAGGCACCCCCTCCTGCCGCCCGCGAACACACAGCAGCGCCTCATGCAAAGCAGCGGGATTCCTGCCTGCCCTCCCCAGGGTCTGTACCCCCCCTCGCTCGACCTCTTCCTTTGCGCCCCTGGGCTATGCCGCAGGGAGCCCAATTAGGTAGTGGCGCTTTAAGGAAATCACAGGATATTTGGGGTAGGGTGTTGCGATGTCTTTCCCTACCGTGAGCATGGGTCGCCTCTGTCGGGCTTCACTGGGGGCGCTGCCTGGCTTCAGGATCCCCTTGGAACTTAGGAAGCGAAGACAGAAGCAGGGAAAGAGCGCGCGCTAGAGCTGCAGCTGCGCTCGCCTTCCTAGCTTAGCAGCGCCTCCTTGCCTCTTTTATTATCATCATCATCATCTCACTTCTTACCCTTACATTCCAGCTTTAAATAAAAGGACGGGGGGAGGGGGGCAGCCACGCTGACAGAAAGAGGCCGTTCTGGACTCCAGTACTCACACCAGGCAAAGGGAAACCATCACGCACGGATGGGAATTTAGTATTCTCTAAATTCATCCTAAACTGGCCCATGCAAAAGACTGTTATTAGGCCTTGAGTGCCTGGTTTTCTTGCTAGGGGCACCATTTCAGTTTTGTGTGTGTGCTGGGGGGTCTTTAACTTTGATTCTAGGGGCTACTGAGGCACCTGAAAAGTCTAGTTTGGGTTTTTTGTTGTTTTTTTTTACAGATAATTTAGAAATTAGCTGACAGGAGCACTGTATCTAATTCCTATATAAAGAAAGAAAATTAAATAAATATTAGACCCACCCATCTCTGATACAAACATGTTAGAATATCTTGTGTCAAGTCACTTAAGGGACACTCCTTAGGTTTAAAATTGTAATGTATATTCTTACTTTGTTACTAACTCTTGAATACATAGACTGAAACAAGTGTAGAAAAAATCAAGATAACTCTTTCGCTGTTCACCAGGCTTGAATAGATCGTTTAACTTTTGGAAACGTTGTACTAGGGCACCTGCCTGGGGCTCTAGGGGCGTTACCTCACTACAAATAATAGACTACAAACTGCCCTTAAACAGGAGTGAAATTTCAAGTCACTTTCACAGTATTGCCAACCCCAAATGTCCAAAAATCATGAATCAGGCTCACCCAAAATCATGAGATTATGTAAAAATAATAGATTTGGTGATCTTTGTATCTGTCTTCTGCTTTTTGAGCCCTTAGGGTGGACTGGGGTCACATTTTGAAGCTTTCCCCACAGCCACGAGGACTAAAAACATCATGTTTCTTTAAGAATGATGGCTGAAATCATCACATATCCACTTGACTCCAGGAGCTGGGGCTTTAAGGAAAACAATTATTGTGCGACTCATGACAAAATCATGAGAGTTGGCAACACTATTTTCACTTCTGTTTAAAGACTAGCAGGGCTGGCCTTAGGCACAGGTGAACTGGGTGAAAGCCCGGGGCACCTCTGGAGCAGGGGTGCTCCTCCCTCTGCTGGTTTCTGCAGCCCCACGGCTCCTGCCCCTGTCCTTGGAGCAGCCCCTGGCCAGCTGCTCCTAGGAGCTTCCTGTTTGCTGCAGGAGGGGAGGGGGAGAAGGGGCACTGATGTCAGGGTGTCCCCTGCCCCCCTCCATCCATGTACCCCACCTCCACAGAGCATGGGGTGGATAGGGCTCACCAAGAGTGGGACAGAGCTGCTGGCAGCTGCTGCTGTGTCTGAAGGAGTGTTCCTTCAGACTGGCGAGTGCTGCTCTCTTAAAGGAGCAGCGTGGAGTCTCTCATCCACTCCCCCAGCTCACATGTCTCTTTCACACTCACCCCCAACACATACTTATACTGTTGTTGTTGTTACTTGTTGGTACTTCCTGCAATGCACATCTATTCTCTGTAATTGTATTCTTTCAAAGTGCTGTTATTTTAGTTTTTTGACTGGTCTATGCATTTCATAATTTTATTTCTCTCTTATGCTTAAATTTAATTCTTTGAGTAGTGAGTTCTAAAATGCCTAACCTGTCCTGGCTGGAGTAATTATCATTATTACTTTTATTATCATATTGTGCTTTGTCATTCATTATTTAAAGTGGTACAATCAAATAATAGTATCTTTCTAGAATGTAACTTTAGCTTGTACTAACCTTAGCAGTGTCAGTTTAAAAAACATTAGCTAAACACATAACTTTAGACACTGGGCAGATGAAGGTTGCTTATTTTCAAATTGTATTTTTAGTTATATCTGTTAAATAACTTAAAATTTGCATGAAAATAAATGCAGTTCCAACTATGACACGAATAGCAATGATGGAGTCAAATGTTAATCACATGTTAAAATTATGTTTTCTGAAAAACAATTGACTAAAATAGAGTAGATAATGGCAGTAACACAGAGTGTGTCTGTTAGAGAAAGTAAGCAGATTTTATTTATTTTTATTTATCTCTGCTAAAGATAGTGTACAAAGTATCAGACGTGTTTCTGATATCGGTGTTAAAACTCCAGAACTGATACCTCAAGGCTTGGGATTGGGAATATCTTGCTGTATTATTTCCTGATTGTTCCAAATTCACATATAAACTTTAAACGTGGCTTTAATTGGAGTTTGTATATATTTTATCTTTTTTACATAACAATTAGAGTGCTCCTGTCAGCTAATTCCTCAGTTATTATCTGCAAAAACCCTAGAGTTTTCAGTGCCTAAGTAGTCCCTGGAACCATAGTTAAAGTTTCCTCTCACCCCCACCCCAAAATCTGCAATGGTGCTCCGATGACCCAGGAGTGGCCAGAGGGATGCAGGAAGGCCGTGGGCTCTGGCAAAATGCAGCCTCCGTGTGACAGTGTGAAGCCCACCTTGAGCCATATGCTGAGCACCAGGCACCACAAGCCACAACAGCAGCGCAGATGTAAGGGTAGCAATACACCATATATCATGCCACCCTTACTTCTTTGCTGCTGCTGCTGGTGGCGTTGCCTTCAGAGCTGGGTGCCTGGCCACCACTCGCCAGTATCAGGCCACCCTGCCAGAGCTTAATTTGTGCCGGGGATGAGGTCTGGCATCTCTTTCAATACAAATTAAACACTGAGGGAGGCCGTGGAGCCCAGAGGCAAGGGGGAGGGAGAAAGCCCAGGGAGCCCGTGGGGGCCAGGAGTGATGGGGGGGCGCAAAAATACAAGTTCGCCCAGGGTACCATTTCCCCTAAGGCCAGCCCTGAAGACTAGTTCCTTTCCTGAAGGCTCTTAAACACAACATTACAGTGATTGAGTTGCAGTTCTCACAGGAAAATATTTAAAACCAAATACCAAGAAAATTCCACATTTTAAAGTTGAGAAAAAAAATGGAGGCTTCTGAGGTATATCAGAGCCATAGCAGGCAGGAAAGGAAAATAAACAGGCACAGGAGCTCTGGGCAGCTCTTCCTCTTTAAAAAAATTTGGAGGGTCAAATCTTCTAGTCCTTAATCATGTACAACTTCTATTGCCATCAGCATCTCCATGGAAGATATTAACATGTGTTCAATAGCTATACACTTCATACTTAAATATTTGAGCCATCTTATCCAGGGCTACACAACTTACACGCATTGGCTCAGGGACTACATTTTCTGGCATATTCTGAACAGTGCTGAGCACACAGATGGTGTCCAGTGAATAATACAAATCATGACAACAATTGTCAGCGTTATGGACTCTGTGGATGCAATTTCTGTTCTTTGTTCTGGAATTGGCCTTAATACAGCTGAAACCCTAAGAATGAGGCATAAACACATCTGATACTTATATGACACTTTCTCATTCCTTTGTTTTCTTGAACTCAGAACAAAAAATGACAAAAGAGAAAGGTTTTCAGTTAAAATGTAAAATTGCACAGCAGCCATTGCTCTACAACCCAACAGGGGGCAGAACCTGCCACCCCTCGGGGGTTAAGTGATCTCTTCTCATCTAACTCTCATTCTCTCTCTTTCTTTCTTCATCCTTCCTGACCTCTGTGCTGCTTTTCATGCTGTCGATCACGACATCCTTCCCAATCACCTCAGACTCTTTGCTGGAGTCTCAGAGAACAGGCCTTCTTGGTTTTGCTCCTATCTGAGTCCTCTTTCTTTGCAGCATGCAGCTGAGAGAGAGGCTGGTCCAGTGGATAGGGAGCGAGACCTGGGTTCTACTCCCCCCACGGATGCCCTGTCTCACCTCAGGCCAGTGCTTTAGGGACGGAGATGCAGCTAAGTATTTAGTGGGGTTTACAAAGCACCTAACATTCCAGGTATTTTTGAAAATCCCACTAGGTGCCTAAAATACCTTTGAAAATCTGTCCTTTAGTCTCTCTGTGACTCAGTGCCCCATCTGTACAATGGGGATAACAGCACTACTCTACCTCACTGAAGGGCTGTGAGGAGAAATAGGTTAGATCAGGGGTAGGCAACTTTTCAGAAGTGGTGTGCCGAGTCTTCATTTATTCACTTTAATTTAAGGTTTCGCGTGCCGGTAATACATGTTAACATTTTTTAGAAGGTCTCTCTCTATAAGTCTATATTATATAACTAAACTATTGTATGTAAAGTAAACAAGGTTTTCAAAATGTTTAAGAAGCTTCCTTTAAAATTAAATTAAAATGCTGATCTTACACCACCAGCCTGCTCA